CCCCAGCTCCAGACAGCTCCGTCGGCGGTGAGGGCGAGGCTGTGCGCAAATCCAGCCGACACAGCGAGGACGCGCTGCCCCGCCATCGCCTCGATCTTCATTGGCAGCAGCTGGCCCTGCTGGTCGCCGTGGCCCAACCTGCCACAGGCTCCCCAGCCCCAGCTCCAGACGGAGCCGTCGGCGGTGATCGCGAGACTGTGCAAGTTTCCAGCCGACACAGCGATGACGCGCTGGCCAGCGAAGGCCTCGACCTTCTTCGGCTCCAGCTGGTTCTGCTGCTGCTGGCCGTGGCCCAACTTGCCAAAGGTTCCACGGCCCCAGCTCCAGACGCTGCCGTCGGCGGTGATGGCGAGGCTGTGCGCAAATCCAGCCGACACAGCGAGGACGCGCTGGCCAGCCATCGCCTCGATCTTCATGGGCAGCAGCTGGTCCTGCTGGTCGCCGTGGCCCAGCCTGCCCGAGTAGCCATAGCCCCAGCTCCAGACGGCGCCGTCGGCGGTGAGAGCAAGGCTGTAACCATCTCCAGCCGACACAGCAACGACGCGCTGGCCCGCCAAAGCCTCGATCTTCTTGGGCAGCAGCTGGTTCTGCAGGTCGCCGTGGCCCAACTGTCCCAAGCTTCCACCGCCCCAGCTCCAGACAGCGCCGTCGGCGGTGAGGGCGAGGCTGTGGCCAGCTCCAGCCGACACGCTCACGGCGCGCTCGCCGCCCAGCGTCGAGGGGAGGCGGGTCGGCGTGTTGAGCCGCGTCACGCCCTCGCCGTGGCCGAGGAGCCCTGAGAATTCCTCCACTTCGTCCTCCTCGTCCTCCTCCTCCTCCTCGCCCTCCTCCACCTCCTTGCCGCACGACGAGAGCCGCCCCTCGCCGTCGATGAAGAGGCTGTGCCGATTGCCTGCGGCCGCCCTCGCCGGCGGGTTGGACTCGCACAGCAACGCAGCGGAGCACAGCCACCGCACGGTACAGCTCTCGCCCTCTGGCAGCGCCGGCAGCTCGAAGCCGCGCTCTTGCGCCCGCAAGCGGATGCCCTCCAGCGCCAGCGAGGCGTGGAAGAGGAGGGAGACGGCCGCGACGCGAGCGATGTCGACGGCCTCGCAGCGAGAGACGACGCGCACGAGGAGGTCCGTGGGGAGGTCGAGGAGGTGGGTGGGCGGCGGCGTGTTCGGCGAGGGATCGGCGGTGGCGGCGGCGGCTAGGCGGCGCGAGCGGCCCCGCGGTGCAGACATCGCGAGGAAAAGA